CAGAAACCATGCCATAAAATCTTGCTCTCCTCTGGGTGATGTCCGGATCTTCAGAATTTCACCGACGTCCATCTCCCAAAAGTACTGCCTTAACCTGTTTACATTCCATGCTCCTGAATCCTCCAAAAAATTAGCCACCCAGTTGTATCTGCAATTTATTTTTGGGGTTATTGGTTTGAAGTCGTGCCTCCTGGGGATCCACGGATCCCTCCAAGTTCTGATCATAGTGCCATTTCCAACTCTCCAAATCAAGCCTTTCTTCAACAGTTCGAGGCCATGAGTGATACCTTTCCACACCGCAGAAGAGCTGGACGGGAACACCGTATCCAAAAGATTACCATTTGGGTAGTATTTTGCCCGAAGCAAGCGAGCACATAGGCTGTCTGGGGTATGTAATAATCTCCAAGCTTGTTTCGCAAGCAACGCTTGGTTGAAGGCGTGCATGTCCCTAAATCCCATGCCTCCCATATCCTTGGGCAAGATCATCTTCTCCCAGCTTAGCCAGGCCATCTTCCTCTTGCCATTCTCCACTCCCCACCAATACTGCCTCATCAACCTTGTTAGGTCATCACACACGGACACCGGCAGGCGGAAGACACTCATAACGTAGGTTGGTATTGCTTGTGACACCGCCTTAATCAGTATCTCCTTATTTCTGGCTGACACATACTGTTCACTCCAATCCACTAATATTTTCCTTAGCCTGTCTTGCATGGTCTCAAATTGCCCTTTATGTACTCTTCCTTCTGGTACAGGTAAGCCCAGGTATTTAGGTTCAAAAACCTGTTGTGTCACTTCCAAAATACCCTTCATCTCTACCGCCACCGCCTCGGGGCAGTTGTCCAAAAAAAGGATGGAACACTTTTCAGGGTTGATAAGTTGACCCGTCACTCTGGCATAAGTGTTCAACAAACCTTTCACAATGGTAGCTTGGTGGTTCGATGCTTCAAACAGTAACATAGTATCATCGGCGAACAATAGATGTGAGATAACCAGAGCACCACGGCAGATTGAAACCCCCTTCAATTCTCCCTCGTGCACTGACTTGGATAACAAGGAGGACAAAGCATCAGGTATAAACAGGAAGAGGAAGGGAGACAGGGGGTCACCTTGCCTTAGTCCTCGAGAAGGAGAAAACGACTCCAGTAGCTTGCCGCTAAACTTAACCGAGTATTTCACAGACTTCACACAGGCCATAATCCATGTGATCCACTCCATCGGAAACCCCCATTTTATTAGGGCTTGCTCCAAAAACTCCCAATCTACACAATCATATGCTTTCGAGAGATGCAACTTGTAAGCACAAGCAGCAGGACTGTTTGGTTTCATAGTTTGTATATGATGGATGCACTCGAAAGCAATTATTGAGTTATCTGAGATAAGCCTCCCAGGGATGAATGCGCTTTGATTCTCCGATATTAGCTCACCCAACAACGGTCGCAACCGATTGACCAAGCACTTAGACACGATCTTGTACAGCACGTTACAAAGACTTATCGGTCTGAAATCCTTTAGTTCCTTAGGGTGAGGAACTTTAGGAATAAGGACGATGGCCGTATCATTCATTCCCTCTGGCATATTTCCTGTTTTAAAGAAATCCAAAACGGCAGCAACAATTTCTGTCTTCAGCACAGCTCAATTGCATTGGAAGAACCTTGCCGGCAAGCCATCCGTTCCTGGCGCTTTGATCGGCCCAATCTGAAACAGGGCATTAGACACCTCCTCCTCTGAAAACGGCGCACACAGCAAATCATTCATACCCTGTGTCACTTTAGGAGTTATACCTTCAAGCACCTCCATAGGTGTAAGTGTCGGATCTTTGGTGAACACTTCCTGAAAATAAGAGCTCGCCATGTGTTCCATGTCTGACGGTACGGTGCACCAAGACCCATCTGTTTTGCGTAGGCGTTGGATATAGTTCCGGCGCGCACGCCACACCGCCCGTCGGTGCAAATATGCAGTATTCCGCTCTCCCTCTTTAAGCCACGTGATCTGTGACCGTTGTAACCATAGCATCTCTTCTCTATAGAGCAATTCATCCAATTGGTACATTTTCTGCTTTATCAATGACATGTCCGCATCTTGGAGTTGCAAGTCAGCTAGCTGCCGCCGTAGTTTTTCGATTTCAGATGTGACATGACCGAAGTTCTCCCTGCTCCACGCACGCAGCTTCGCCAACATCTCCTTCAGCGCATCCCGAATAGCACCAAGAGTTCCGCTCGGCTTGCTTTGCCCCCACCGGTTCACAATGACTGAGGCCAGTGCCGGGTGCCTCTCCCACATGATCCCGTACCTGGTCGCGGCTCTGTTTTTAGGTGGCTCCACATGCGATAACCGAACCATCAAAGGACAATGGTCCGAGCAAGACGACGCCAGATGATCCACCTGCATAAAGGGAAACATATCCTTCCACGCTTCATCAGCACAAGCTCTATCCAACCGCACCCGGACGGTTCTATTCCCAGCTTGCCCATTATCATATGTATACAGGATCCCGGAGAACCCCAAGTCCATTAATTCACAAGCCAGTAGGCAATCCCTGAACTGCTGCATTTGACCCTCAGATCGTTGCGTTTGAGAAACATGTTCATGTTGCCACATGGCTTCATTAAAATCCCCACACACTAGCCACGGCTCCGAGGATATGGCACGTAAATTTGACATCGCACTCCACATACGGTGCCTGTTCTCCACCCGTGGCTCTCCGTACACATAGGTCGTCCTCCATGTTTTATCATTTGCTGCATCTACAATACGCATGTCTATATACCGTGCACACGAGTCCAAAACTGTCACTTGTAAATTTTCATCCCAATAGAGGGCCAGGCCCCCACTCAACCCATCACTGGAAACACCTGCAAAACCTCTCATCTGTAGTCTAAACTTGATCTCCATCTTGCTTGAGGCTTGTCTAGTTTCAGAAAGGAAGACCAGCCCCGGGGAATTGGCTTTGCAGAGGGCCAACACCTCG